GACCACGGTGTCTACACTGGCACCGCGGCGCTGTAGCCCCGGCGCAGAAAGCTCTACACCTCTCATCGGGGTGGTTTTTTACAGCGCTGCAACTGCACAGTTTCTGCACACTAAGTGGCTTGGCAGTGTGTACACCTCGAGAGTTACACCACAGAAAGCTGCTTTACTGTGCAGAAACTTGCCAGTGTAGACAAGGCCTGAGGTGTCATTTTAATGCTCATGAAATGCAATAATCCTTAGATACTTGGATGCATACCCTCTAAGAGTGAGCTGTGTGTAGCTAACTCGGCTGATTTCTCCTCTGAGATCCTCCTGTGAAGGGAAGTTTCTATAAAAAGAAGAGAAGGGTGCAGATTCTGGTGGTCTCTCTTGGAGCATGGAGGTTTCAGGAGAGCTGGCTGTGTGAATAGTGTGGGGATGCGGGGGGAGAAAATTGTAAATGTGTTCAGGAAATCTAATGAGCTGGATTTAGCAAACATTTGTATGAATGGGTTTTATTTTCAGGTGCTTTATATCATGCCCATCACCATGGTAGCTGAGCACCTTCCAGAGGCTCACTAAGCACCTTGACTAGTATCCATTACATTTGTTCACATGAATGTTTGAGGGAAAATCTTTTATCCATCCAACTCCAGATATCCATGCATAAATGAGTGTTTTCAAGCCCAAAGGGTTCATCTGGTCAATACATGCAGTTACATGGTGGGAATGTAACAAGAAAAAGTACAATGTATTAGATACGACAGTCAATAAATCTGGTGTATTTCTCTTAAGTTGCCTGGGAATCCACCTATTTTAAAATCAGGGATCCACTTACAGAAACATAGATATAATATATGTTCTCCTGCCACAGGGGAAATAACATGTTCTAAGCCTGTTTACTGCTATTTCTCCTTACCTTTTTACATGGGAAATTACATGTCTTAGTGATTTCTTTGGGCACTGCTCCTATTTATTTAAAGGGTAAGTCATCAATTCAGGGAACAGAAACCGTAGGTTATAACCAGTAGCCAATCACACAGAATTCCAGAGACCAAAGGCTTAGAGGAGTGTTTGCCTCACACCGTTTGTAAAAATGGAAGTATGTTTGGTGAGCAATTCTGAAAAACAAATCTATAAAATCATGATTGACGTGTGGGCAAGTCAATGTGAGAGAAGGGCCAGATCAGTCACATTTTTGGTACTATAGTTGCTTAAAGAACTAGAAGATGTAAGTGGGAGTCAATTGCTGAGAAGGGAACTACAGTAGAAAGATCATATGAATAACTCTGTCTGTACTGTCAGCCAAGCAATAAAGTCAGCCAGAGCAAGCTGGAGAAATAAAGTTGCTTTCCTGTTGGTGAGCTTGCTCGTGATTGGATAACCTGATCCAAGAAGTGGTTTTATACAGATTCATTCTATGTCACCAACCCGGTGACATACAGAGTGACCTCTTAGTAACCTTGTTAAGTACATGGTAACAACTAAAAGTTAGGGTGATTGATTTGGCCTCTTTCTGTTCCTAGAGTGTCTGCAAGCCCGTTGTGATTCTCAAATTTACTAATTATTGTATTTAATCATCTCACTATTGGGGGGATTTTTTAAAATTCTGAACTGATCACAAATAGCTGTATACTTGACATATGAAAATTGTGTAGTATTTATTCACTGTGACTGGTTAGAAATCACCTGGTGCTGTTTCTGTTGCCTGATTGATTGAAGGAATGAATAACTGGGAAGAAAAAGAAAATTTGAAGAATTTAGGGAGAAGTATCAGGAATAGGGACTCTTAAATCTCTTGATTTTGGACCATATGTGTCTAACAATAGAAGACTAGAACAGCACTTAGATTTATTACTGTAAACAAAAGAGTTGCAGAACAGACCAAAGTAGCAAATCTTACCAATGTTGTTTATTTAACATATAAACTGTGTAGTCATTTGCATGAAAAAGTTGGTTAGATTAGATTGTAGAATGCACATAAGCCATGCTAGGGATTGTGTCTGGGTGGTGTAAGTGAACCATAAAAGAATTAACTTTTGTATAAAGCTTCTGATTCCACAAAGGGCTAGCAACAGTGTCCAGAGCTGGTATGGTGTTTTGTTTTGTTTTGTTTTGACAAAACAGTTTTTCATTCAAAAATACCAATTTGTTGAAGCAAACTTTTTGCACAAATGTATGTGTTTCTGAGAACCTTTCCCAACAGAAGTTATGTTGAGAGAGAGAAAAAGAGTAGTCCAGTGGTTAGGCCGCTCACCTGGGATATACAAAACCCAGGTTCAAGCTCTCTGTATCAGAGTACTCTGTATCAGACATACCAAGGACTTGAACCTGGGTCTCCCACAGCTCAGGTGCAATAACCACCAGGTTATAGTTAGCCTCTCTCTCAAGATCTCCTGTTGGAGCTGTTCCACTTTGTAGAAATAATTAAATATTCATTGAGCCAGACAGAGAGAAACTGACTCTATAGCCCAGAGATTAGGGCATAGTTGTGGGTTCAAGTCCCTGCATCTCCCACATCCTGGGTGAGTGCGTGAGTGCCCTAACCACCGAGGTATAGAATATGTTTCTTTCCCTGGACCAGTGAATATTGAGAGATGTTTGCTCTGAATTGGGCAAAACAGAGACTTGAATAGGGGTCTGTCATATCCCAAATTAGTGTCTACATTGAGATCTTCTTCAGTGGGTCTCTTGCTGCCTCTTTCATCCCAGTAGAGAATGGGAAAATGTTTAAATTCAATTTTTTGCAGGGTGGAAAAACCATTTCCCAACCAGCTCTACTCTTGCTCCCCGAGTATGACCAGTGAGTGAGCGCTTGTTCTGATAACTAACATGATCTCCTGTGGGAGGGCTCTGAAAGTGTGAGGATAACATTGCATGGAACCATCTGGTGTTAGTTCTCTCCAGCTTGCTTATACAATTCCACTTAAGCTCAGCTGAATTACTCTTCCTCTTATTAAAAACCATTGTTTTTTCTCCTTGCCAAAAGCCTTGTAAATACTGTTTCTCTAACAACAACAAACTGAAAGAATGCATGTCCAGTGAGGCTGGATGCTTTGAAGAAAATTTTGAACTAGATTCACCGCCAGAAAGTAATCTTATTGTAGACTAAATGTAAACCAATCAAGAGCCCTGATATTTTTTCAGTATTGTTAATTTCACAATGACTTAGTAGAATGTGAAGGTTGCATTAAAAAAAAAAACAGGTTCTTTATAACTCCTGAATCATTTAACATTTTTTTTGTCTTCTTTCTGGGTGCAGAACTTCCCATTTGAATTTGTTAGAACAACTAATAGCACTGCACACGTGAAAGTATCTGTGGAAGCTGCCAAACAACAACTGCATTGCCAACTATTCCAACTGATTTGGATGAGATTACAAGTTTGGTTGATCAAGAGAATAGAATTGATGTAATACACTTAGACTTCTGTAAGACGTTTGACTTGGTACGTCATGACATTGTGACTAAAAACCTAAAACAATATAAAATTAATGTGGCACACATTAAATTAATTAAAAGGTGGCTAACTGATAAGTCTCAAAATGTAACTGTAAAGGGTAACCATCATTGAGTGGGTGTGTTTCTCATGGGGTTTCACAAAGATCTTTTCTTGACCCTATGCTATTTAACACTTTTATAAAAGAAAACATAAAATCATCACTGAAAACGTTTGCATATAACATCAAAATTGGGGGAGTAGTAAGTAATGAAGAGGACAGGTCACTGATACAGAGCGATCTGGATTGTTTATGCCCAGTTTATCAAGGGAACAATATGCATTGTAATATGGCTAAATGTATATACACCTCTACCCCGATATAATGCGACCCGATATAACATGAATTCGGATATAACGCGGTAAAGCAGCGCTCCGGGGGGGGCTGGACTGCGCACTCCGGTGGATCAAAGCAAGTTCGATATAACGCGGTTTCACCTATAACGCAGTACGATTTTTTGGCTCCCAAAGACAGCATTATATCGGGGTAGAGGTGTATCTAGGACAGGAGGAGGGATTCTACCTGAGGAAACAGTGATTCTGAAAAAGAGTTGGGGGTCATGAATCATCAGCTAAACATGAGTTTCCAGTCAACATTGTGGCTGAAAGGTTAATGGGACACTTGGATGCATAAAAAGGGAAATCTTGAGTAGAAGTGTGGAGGTTATTTTACTTCTGTATTTGGCACTGTATTTGGTGCTACTACTACTGAAATACTGTGTCCAGTTCCGGTTTATTTTGGGTAAATAGCTGCTAAATGCAATTTTGTGCTACAGAAAAATGAGTACAACTTTAAAAAAAACTGATTTCTATGCAAAAAGAGGAAAAAGAAGCCCTGAAACAATTTTAAAAAATCCCAAAAGCATTCAATTAAATTGTCCCTATGCCGTGCTGCAAGTTGATGAGTTTTTCCCCCTTCATTAACACTACAATCTAGAATTTCTAGATTGACTTCCCTGTGTATATTGAACACTAGTGTGAGCCAATGCTGAGATCATGTTTCTGCCCTCTTATATTTTTTTTGTAGATCTGTAGCACAGTGACATTTGTATAAAAGTCTCTAAAGGATAAGATACAGTTCTTTATGCCTTTTTTTTCTTCTCTTTCAGTGCAAACCATTTCAGGGATTCTACATCTAGGAGTGAATGTCCTAGACAGCAAACATTATAGTTTTGAGTGATATTGTCTTTGTGAAAATTTCTGTTACGTGTGGAACCTCTCTCTGTAGACAAGTAGATGCAGGTTCATCTCTTTTCATATTAATTTTCATGCCATGTCTATGAGTATGGGGCATATCAGTTAGTACGTGGACAGATTTGATAAGTTAGCTACTGGGAAAAAGGGAGCAGATTTTTAGTTATCATCAACATCATGTTCCTGCAATTTATTGTGAAATAAAAATGTAGGTCAAAATCCTCAACTAGGGTAAATCAACATAGCTCCATTGACTTGGACCAGCTGAGGATCTGACCCAGGGACACTAGTGCACTATACATTAATTTTAATAATATTAGTTTATTCATATAAATGCATACAATTTACAAATGTATATAAACAGGGCAAGATGTTTCACAGTTCAGAGTTCTGTTTTAGCATGCAAACTATCATTTGTATTAATTTTTGGCTTCATGATAAATAAAACCTTTTGAATTTCAAAAACAACTGTATAATCTTACATATCTCTAATAAAAACAGAAATTCATGATTATAATTGTTTTATAATAAAATATACAACAGGATCCACAAGGCGATCTTTCCACATTTCACTTTTTGTGATGCAGTATTTTGATACTAATATGCATACTGTATATTAAATTTGGATTTAAATATTCAATATTACTAACATATGTTTGATATCACATATTAAATGCCAGATTCTGATACCTTCACGCATGTTCAATATTGCCTTCCTCCATGATAATACCATGGAAGTCAGTGGGTCAAAACTTTTCTGTAAGTGGGAAACATATGAGTCCACTCCCCTCCCCCAGTGGAAGAATGCCAGGTGAATTCTGAGTTGACACTTGATGCGTTCACTTTTCCCTATACAGAAATGATGCCCATTGTGGAGGATGGGGCATATTCTCTCTGACAAATGAAAGAGAAGATACACATGAGATCAATGAATGACTCAAGAGATTGACCCCAGGATCTAAAAACATTCACCTCTAGCTTTCCAGTTCTAATTCAGTATATAATGACAGTGAGGGAATGTTATTACCATCCGATGGCTATTTAGCCTGTGTGAAATGAGTTTGGTGATCCCAGTTCACTTCCAGCTGGACATGTGTCCACAGCACAAAAACCCCACATGAAAACTTGCATTTGTTAGCAATGCTGTTGTCACTTTTGATGGGTGGAGGGGAACGGGACGAAGGCCAAATGAGCATGAAGACTGATCAGCCTTCTTATTCTCTGGAAATGATCCTCTCCCACTGCGAGTTGAGGCATATGGGTGGAGCATTGAGATGAAGCTTACTCTCCTCCTGTACTTGTTCTGTGAATGAATGAAGAGAGGCTTTCATTTTCCCAGGCTGTCATTCTGTCATATTTTACATGCACTGAAGTAAATAAATACCATTTCTAGAGAGATGCTGCTATTAAAAATACCCTGCATTTTTAAAACCAGACATTTCAACCCATGTTATATTCAATGGTAGTGAATTACCTTGTCCGTTTTCAACCTGAATATAATTTGTATCAATGTATGACCATTTTTCACCAAAACGTATCAAAATCATTTTCAGTGTTCCTGTCTAGATCCTCTTCAGGTATAAATGGATACAACTCCATGGACTTCTGTGGAGTTTCATCCAGTTACACCAGCTGAGAATCCAGCCCTATGTTTTTCCCCCTAAGCCTTTAATAAATTTAAAAAATAATCCCTCATAGAGACTGAAGTGTCAGATGTTAATATTAATGTAGTGGTTAACCACAACATGGCAATTACTGTTTACCAGGCAAGCTTGATTTATTCAGTGCTCGTCACCCCATGTGTAATTAGGAGTAGAGAGCAGTAGTGTCAGTACAAGAAGTTGGCTTTACCAACTTTCAGTTTCAGGGAGAATCTCCTGAAGGTGGAGATCCTTCACTTCTGAAATTGTTAAGAAAAGACAGTGAGACTCATTCCTAAAACATCAAACATGTATCTTTCACCATCTCAGGTACCTCAAACCAAAACCCAGATAAAATAATGGAATTTTAATAATAGCATTGTATACTGTTTTTACAGGTCCAAAATATTGTATAGACACTAACTAGCCATTCCTCAGAACACTCCACTGTGGTAGGTAAGAAAGTGTTATCCCCAGTTAACAGATGGGGAAACTGAAAGAGGAAAAGGCAGACACTTGCCTAAAGCAACACAATGAGTCAGCACTGAGCCTGTATCAGGGCTCAGGGTGAGCTGACTCTTAAGTAAGTGCTTGTTTCTTGCAGGAGAATTTATTTATTTTGGGGTAGATTTTCAAAAGCACGTAGGGAATAAGAAACAGAAGACCCATTGAAAGCCAATACAACCTGTGCTCGTAACTCCTTTAGATGCTTTTTGAAAATCTCTTGTTTTAATCCCTTTAGTTTCCATTTTCTCTATATCAAGATTAAAACAAATTTGGCATAAAACATTTCCAATATATTCTGTATCTTGGAAAACTTAATAAAATAAAACTTGGCAACCCTGGTTATCTTTCAAGACAAGTTTGCATGGGTTGTTCAACTGAGAAAAAGTTGCTCATCCTCTGCGCGGGCTTGTTCAAGTGGCTCTGAATTCCATTCCATGTTATGTCATTTTATGGTGAGATTTCAGAGATAACAAATTGAGGTCAGTTAGGGATCTGTGAATGACAAACCTCAGTATCATGCTATGCATGATGCACTCATGTTGTCCCCATTGACCTTAACCTTCTTACTAACCTTATAGTGCACGGATGAGGGACTGTATTCTCTTTAAACTAAACGTTAAAAAAGGGGGGGGGGGACGGGAGGGGAGGGATGGAAGGAAAAATTCAGACCTGTTGCAAGCAACTCCAATTCAATTGAAGTCAATATAGTTGTACCCTCCTATACCAGGTCTGAATTTAGGCCATTATGCCTGACTTGCTACCCCATGACACTAAGGGCTTGTCTTCACTGCCTGCCTGGATCGGCGGGTAGAAATCGATCTCTCGGGGATCGATTTATCACATCTCGTCGGGACGCAATAATCCCCGAATCGACACGCGTACTCCACCAGCCCAGGTAGGAGTAAGCGCCGTCGACGGGGGAGCCGTGGCAGTCGATTTGCCACCATCCTCACAGCGAGGTAAGTCGGATCAGATAGCTTGTCTCTGCTTCAGGCCCTGCTTGTGGGGGACCCTAGACTCTGGCTTCCGACCTTGCGTAATGCCTGACTCTTGGTTTGCCCTCTGGTCTATCCTGGACTCTGACCTCCCAGTACTTGCTTGACCTGACTCCTAGCTCCTGGTTTGACCACTAAGGCTAATGCCAGTATCCTGGTTGTTACAATTTTCAATTGCGGCCATACAGAAAACAGGGAAAATCTTAATTAACTAAACCCATCTGTAGGATTATTTGCAATTCCTGCAAGACCCTCATTGCCAAAGGGCTAGATTGGGCAACTCTTGTGTGAATGGGAAATTTGATCACACAAACAAGACCATTAAAGTCAGCAGATCTACTTGCATGAGTAGGGTGAGTAAGGGTTGCACAATCTGGCTCAGACTAATGGAGAAATGAGATTACTTCCATTTCAAGGCAGCTTGAGTCATTTTTTTGCTTTCATAGAATCAACATCATGGAAAAAGGAAATACTTTCCTGTAAAATATTAACTTGGATTTTTAAAGGTGACTAAAGGAGTTAGTTGCCATCGCCCACTGAATTTCAATGGAAGCTGGGGGCCTAACTCCAATAGCCCCTTTGAAAATTTCAGGATTAGTTCTTTTAATTCTAACGAAATAAACTGAGTGAGTGTGTGTAGGGGAGGAGGGGGGAGAGGGGTTAGTAAAAGGAGGGGCCCGCTGAAAGACTGGATGGGTTCAGAGCTCTGGTGATGCATTCAATGGTTAAAGTTAGCTGGGTTTTGCAGTCCCAGCTGAAAAAACAACAACGCATACAATTAAATAGTCTTTTGCAATTGGCCTGTTGATGATGAAGGTATGTGATACAGCAGGATCTGAAATAGCCCACCGGACCTGATAAAAGGGGAGGGCAATGTTGACCAGCCCCAAGCTATTTTGTTGCATATTTTCTGCTCATTTCAGCATACCACGTTATTAGCAATGATGCAGAAAAATGCATGTTCCCTACTTGGGAGGCCTTCCAGAAGGGACAGGAGCATGCATTTGGAATTGGTATTATGTTAATTTCAGGTTGGCAATAAGTAACATTTATTTTGGATTGTCTTCTGGTTTGTTGAACTTTGGTTTGGGTGAGAGGAAACTATAGTTGGTCAAACCTTAGTGGTAACCAGGAGAAGGCAAAGATTGTCCACCTCTCTGAACAGGAGAGCCTTGTTCTCAAGGCTGAAGAGCTAGCAGATCAGGAAGGATATGAGAGAGAGCTGGTATGAAGGAGAGGGATAGAGAGGATGGATATTCTGAGATTTGGATTCATCAATAGGGAGGTGCAATGAGCATGGCATTCAGATTGCAGCTTTCATACACCTCTTATGTGGATGGACCCCCAAAACAGGACTACAGTCATCCTACTGAAGCTGGGAATGGGCAACAGGGTATGGGTTGCTTGGTGATTACCTGTTCTTTTCATTCCCTCTGAAGCACCTGGCATTGGCCACTGTCAGAAGACAGGATTCTGGGCTAATGGACCTTTGGTCTGACCCATTCTTATGTTCTGCTAGTTCCCATATCTGGTGGTTGTCTAGGTAAAAGTAAAGGATTGAGATTGTTTGGATTTTGAGTTTTGGTTCAACCCATTATAAAGACAGGGAAAACTTGTTAAATTAAGATTCAGGTCCAGAATTTCAAGTATCCTAAAATTTGTGATTTTGGTTTGTTTTATAAACAAAATGTGGAGGATAAGGAAAACAGTGAGAAGATGAGAGATCTGAGAAGGAGGAGCAAGGGGGAGAGAAAAGAGAATTCAAGTGGAAAGGTGGAAGAGATGAAAGCACAAGGATCAAGGAGAAATTGCTCAAGAGGAAAAAGGTTATTTTGTTTAAGGAAGAGAGAGAAGAGAGAATCCTTCAGAGGGAGATAAATTGAGATGGGGGGAAAAGAATAACATGGAAAGGGGGAGAGAACAAGGAGAATATGTAAAGATGAGAGAAGTATTTAAAGACAACCACAATTCTTCCAGTAGTGAACTGTATTGATTATGTTTCTAAACTTGTCTCTATCTTCTGCCTCTCTGACTGGCAACTGAGCCCTGGTCTACACTTTAAAAAGTTGACCAGCATAGCTACGACAGTAGGGGGTGCATGGGTTTTTTCTTCCCCCACCATTAGGGTGACCAGACAGTAACTGTGAAAAATCGGGAGGGGGGTAATAGGCACCTATATAACACAAAGCCCCAAATATCGGAACTGTCCCTATAAAATCGGGACATCTGGTCACCCTATCCAACATAGCTATGCAGTTATACCAATATAACTGTACTTATACTAGAATAGCTTGTGACCGCCAGGGGACTGAGCTTAAGCTATACCAATATCAGAATATGTATAGAGATAAAATTGCATTCACACTAGAGGATTTTGCCATAAACATTAATCTTAAACAAAAAGATGGTTTATGAGCACTGAATGTTTTTCTGTAGAAGCATAGGCAAAGAGAAGTTATTCATGGGTTTAATCGATGAGAGTGAGAATGCTGCAAAAGGCAATGATGTGTCTATGATCATTAGCATATCCATTACATTTATAGGCCTGAGAAAAGAGTTCTCAGTCCCATGTTAGCTTTCAAAGAGATATTCACCTCCAAATTGTGTGTATCATCCTTTCATCCACTGCTGGTTATTGGATGACAGGGTCTTGGAATGAAGTAGAGGATAGAACTGTTGGCCTCAAAACATTGGGAAATATGTTTTGTTTGAGTGAAAAATTGAAAAATAAGATTAAAATGTGAGCAAGTCAAACCCAGAAACATGTTAGTCTCCATCATCCAAAGTAATGAGATCTTGTTCAGATGCATGGAAATCTGAATTTTTCAATTACTAATTAGCAGCAGATAAAGACTGGAGGCTGCAGATATTTTGGGGTGTTACAATGCCACAATCCCTTGGCATACCTGCCTATTTCTTTGTTATATCAGACTTAGATGGATGAATAAGAAAAGAATTCCATTAGCTATTCTGTTCATATTATTCCTTCCTTTGTCCACTGACTCAGTGTTATAAACTCATCAGGACATGCATCCCTTCAAACAGGTCATAATTCACTTGCTTGCCCTTCAGCACCATAGACATGGCATATTTTACATCAACTTACCTATGTCTGTCCTAGCCATACACCTCATTTGCTGGGAACACTTGAGCAGCTAGTGCTTGAAGCAACAGTTTGCTATGTTGGTATGTGCTATTTAACTGAGGGTGGATATTGGGAGAGGTGGCAGAGAGGAAGAAGCTGACTTCAGATGGAAAGGACTAGGTACAATATGTGATCCCAATCCAGGGCCCACTGGTTTACGTGCTCAATCTCTGTTCTGGGGTACTACACAAGGCAAAACTTCTATTAACTGCAATGAGAGTAAGATCAGGGCCCTGTCATTTTCTGCTTTGCTAAGAAATCATTCAAAATGGCAGCATACTCAGTAAACAGGGGTTGTAAAGAGAGGGCAGAATACAGGACTGAACAAAGCTTCTTCCTTTATCGAAGAAGTCTGCATTGTGACCATAATGTAATAAGCAGTTTATTAATATGGACATTTTAATAATAGCTGTCTTGTATAATTATGCAGTCTGTAATGATAGCATAAGCAAAATTTATGTTGAAGTCAGGTGCTTTGACAACAGATTACAATCTCATTGCTATAGTATAAATATACATGACATTTGTCCAAGAAAAGTAGTTACGTAGCATACTAATATAGATACCAAACAATAACAAAATATTGAAGTAAAGCAAACTGCTTATTCTCTTATAGGAAGCTACTGGACTACTCAGTAGCAAAGATTTTATAAAGGGTGTTCATCATCATCATCCCAACAGAGAGTCCTGAGGTCCTCTCAGTCAAACTCCCAATGACTTCATTGAAAGTTTTGCTTAAGTAAGGACTGGCTAAAGACTTCAGGATTTGTTCCAGTGTTAAAGGATGTGGAGTAGCACAGGCATATGAATAACATTTTTTTTTACTCACTCTTTTCTTCTGAATCTCTTTAATGGATAGCAGTGTCAATGCCAAGTCCTCTGGCAGCTTTAGAGAGATTTCAGAAGAAGGGTAAGTAGTAAGCATATGGAAGCTACAATCATGTATTGCCTTTGATAGTGATTCTGTTCATGTATTGCAGTCTAATAATTAGCAGTCTTTAAATTGAATATTGACTGAGTTGTATCCTCACATTTGGCATTTCATGTATTCACCTTAAGTGATATCCAAAATACACCTGGATTGTTGCTACATATTGGACAAAAGTGGGGTTTGTTTTCATCTCATTCAAAGGAGGAGCTATGCTGGCAGAGAATAAATAGATAGCTGACAGTTAGAACTAGGAAAATCTATGATATCAAAAAAATTTCCATTCTAAAACAGAATGAAAGCAAACAAAATTTTTTTTCCTGCAAAATGAAAATTCCAAAGAAACCTCACTTTGGATCATTGTTTTGTTTTAATAAAATCAAAACATTTTGTTCTGATTTTTTGATTTTTTTTACTTTAAAAAAGTATGTTAATATTAAAAAAATAATTTTATTTTGAAAAGTCACTGTGAAATAAAAAATTAAATGACTCTGTTCTGCATCATTGAGTTTTATCCTAAACAAAATTTTGTTTAAATCCCCATGTTTTTTTAAAACAATATTTTGATTTCAACAGAAGCAGCATTTTTCAACAAACCATTTTGGAAAAGAAATTCAGACCAGTTCTAACTGTGTCACTTGTGTAGGATTTTGGGGCAAACCAAATCTCAATGCCACACCCATGCATTAGACTTTATATGAGTGCCCATTTGAAATCTGGGAATAATCCACTGCTGCAAATATCAGATGTATTTATTTTTTAATTAACTGAGTACTCATGGAAGGTGCTTTATTGATACACTGCTGACTGAAGGCCTCTGTTTATCCACAGAACAGGACAGCATAGATAGTGACAGTACAAACTTGAAATTAAAAACCTCCTGATTTGGACACAGTCGCATCACATGTTCTGTAAAGAAATATTGACTAAGGGATTTATGGTAACTAAGGCTTAACTCCAGTGCCCATCTGTGTACCGGCCCAGCTCTTCCTACATTCTGTTATGCAAACAACTAATATTTGTGTCTATGTGGATATATATAATATATGTGATATATATAATGAATATCTTCTCTGGAGGCAGCATGATCTGAGAGTTTGTACACAGCATTTAGGATTAGGACCTCCTGAGTTCTAACCCCAGTTCTGTTATGGACACTCTGCCCTGCCAAATTACTTCTCTAGCAAGTGGAGATTGTATTTACTAACCTGCTTCACAGGAGAGTTGTGAAGATTAACTAGTTAATGTTTGTGCATTGTTTTGAACATGTCAAGTGCCTTAGAAGTGCTACAAATCATTTCCTCAGTTCTTGCATTAAAACTTCAATAGGGAGGCATACAAATTACATACATATTACATACAAATTACAATCTCTACAAACTCCAGCATAATGCAGACGAAATCTGAAAAATCAAAGATTAAATTATTTCTAATCAACGCTCTTTCATTCTTTTCCCTCTCATGATAAACCACCTTGTCCAGCTCACAGAAAAGAGCCACACTAAGATAAATGAATAGTTACTTGCAAGTTCTCACTGTGTGGGGCAAATCCTGACACCATCCTTGCAAGAAGGCAATGGAAGGCAAAGCACACCTATGCTTTATTGGAGTGGAGGACCAAGCTGCAGGGACTCCATGCAACAAGATTCCACAACCCCTTTACCCATCACAGAATGGAGTTCTGAAGTTGCATTTTGTTCTGCAACACAACCTCACTCCCCCATGCAGACTAACTCCACCTCTGCCACTGATGGGGATTGATGGAATGAGGCCATGTCAGTTATTTCTCCCTGTGATGGGTTCGGTCACAGAGACCCCCTTGGGATTGCCACCTGACATGCTGAATTTACCTCTGAGCCCATTTTCCCTGCCAGCTTGGGACTCCAGAACCTTGCCTTGTTGAGCCAGACACACTAGCCTGCTGCAACACAGACACAGGTCTGGTCCACGCCCCCAAAGCTGCAGACTTTAACCAAAAACTGCTCAGCAGGTCACCTATCTCCAGCACCCAAACACCCAGTTCCCAATAGAATCAAAACCCCAAATAAATCCGTTTTACTCTGCATAAAGCTTATACAGGGTAAACTCATAAATTGTCCACCCTCTATAACACTGATAGAAAGATATGCATAGCTGTTTGCTCCCCCAGGTATTAATCATTTACTCTGGGTTTATCAATAAACAAAAGTGATTTCATTGAGTATAAAAAGTAGGATTTAAGTGGTTCCAAGTAATAACAGACAGCACAAAGTAAATTACCAAGCAAAATAAAACGAAACATGCAAGTCTAAGCCTAATACATTAAGAAACTGATTTCAGGTAAATCTCACCCTCAGAGATGTTCCAATAAGCTTCTTTCACAGACTAGTCTGGGCCCAATCCTTTCCCCGGTACAGTCCTTGTTAGTTCCAGCAGGCATCCTAGGTGAAAAGCAGGGACTTTCTCATGATTGGGACCCCTTTTGTTCTGTTCCACCCCCTTTTATATCTTTGGCACAAGGTGGGAATCTTTTGTGTCTCTCGGTTCCCACCCTTCCTTCTAAATGGAAAAGCACCAGGTTTAAGATGGATTCCAGTATCATGTGACATGGTTACATGTCACTGTAAGACTTTATTACCCACTGGCTGGCACACATGTATACAGAAAGGCTTATAAGTAAACAGAGCCATTTACAACCAATTGTCCTAGACAATGGGAGCCATCAAGATTCTAAACCACCATTAATGGCCCACACTTTGCATAATTACAATAGGACATCAGAGTTATACTTCGTATTCCTAGTTTTAGATACAAGTATTATACATTCATACAAATAGTATGAACACACTCAGTAGATTATAACCTTTGTAATGATACCTTACAAGAGACCTTTTGCATAAAGCATATTCCAGTTACATCACATTCACACTTATAAACATATTTTTATAAAGCATATGGAGTGCAATGTCATACTCCCCATGCCATGTAGTAGGGGACAACAGCCCAACTGTCGAGGCAACATGAGCAGTGGAAAGTTAGAATTCTGTTCTTCAGGCCTATAGTGTCCTTACATAGAGCAAAACCAGTTTAAATGGGCTTTGCTCCATGTAACAGAATTTGGCCATATGTCTATGGCTCACACCTAGAATTTTGGGTACATGCTTTAATGGGAATAAATGAATAATACAGAAGAAAACTGATACAATGTTTCACATTCAGTATGATGGTCTCTCTAAGAAATGTTCATTTAAAAGATTTTGGTCAAAGAATTGATCTTTGTTCCATGCCCTTTGATTCGCGCAATGAGATGCCGCTGATGCAATAAATGTTTTGCATTATTACATGCCCTGAACCAAATCACCAGCTGGTGCAAATTGACATAACTACATTGGCCTCAGTAGAGCTACACCAAATTACACCAGCTGAGGATGTGGGCCTCTGTGTTTGAAGCAGATATATTATGTAAACTGTAACAATTTCAGCGATTATTTGGTCATGTGAACAGGAGACATCTGCAGACCTGACAGGTTTGGTAGTGTCCCAGTTGTGCTGCAGCATAGGGTCTTCAGGTCTTGGCATGTCTTTATGTATCTTACTTCCTTGACTAGTAGAGCTCAGGTGTCATGAACATAATACATTTGAACTCAGTGGGACAGGGCAGGAAAAAAATTAATAGCAGCTTGCTATACAACTCCATAGTGTCAATGCTGAAGGAGCCTTTCCCACACGGAAAATGAGTTGAACATTTGTAGTAGGAGAAAGGATAACTTATGGGGGAATTTTATGAGGCTACATCTACACTGCACACCACTGGTGGTGGCATATAGGGTATGTGTAACTACAGGCTATAATGAAAAGCAAGCTGCATACATGTGGTGTGTAGCTATACATGGCAATGAAAGGCTGTGGCAGAGTGGAGGCAGCTGTGGTGGGGAAAGGCTCTGGCAATGATAAACTTCTGAAGCCTTCCTTCACTGTCTCCTGCATGCCTTTTCCTTGTTGCTAGAGCCTTTCCGTGTGATGGGAAAGATTCCAACAGTGGAGATGTAGCAGGTCCCTCCCTACACTGCTAAAAATAGCACTCTATGTGGGGGAGACATTGCTTGAGCATGTAGAGAAGAGAGCTGTGTAGGGTACGTACCCACAGAGTTCAGGCATGTCTACACTCTACTTGCCTAAGCAGTGCCTCACTGTCTCCACTGCTATTCATACACATGCTAAGGGGGTGTATATTATATATACTCTACATGCCACCATAACGAGTGTACAGTGTAGACATGCCTTTAGACTTCCATTGGCCTTCAGTTTAGGTCTAGGGTGACCAGACAGCAAATGTGAAAAATCAGGACAGGGGGTGGGGGGTAATAGGAGCCTATATAAGAAAAAGACCCAAAAATCAGGACTGTCCCTATAAAATCGGGACGTCTGGTCACCCTAGTTTAGGTCAGAAGTGAGATGGGCGTTCTCTCATGATCAGTCAGTTTCATACAAATTCACATAGAAAAGACGATTGACCATAAATAAAGCAGATGTGAAATGCTCCAGCTCAGAATTGCAGATGGTTTCACAACCAGAATGTAAAACACTTTCAACACCTAGGACCGTGTGTTCTTTTATTGGGTTCATGTTTTGGAGATGGTTTCTCTTTCTTTTGTTTAGTTTGTTTTTCAGTCATCACTTTTTTTATTTCCTTTGTTCTTTATTTTTAAAAAGCCAATAACCCTTAATTATTTTTTGTAAATGGTATCTTTATACTGTCTGAATATATATATTTACCTGCAGAATTGGTTTGGGGTTTATTTGGTTTTTGGTGAACCCTGTTAATGTCTGGTCCTATTGCCAAATATAACCAAGTTAGCATTAAATAAATTATTCTTGCACTATCTTCAAGGAGGTAGCTACATTAGACTTTAAATTATACTTTCTTCTTATGCCTCCTGTGACGAACTTCTCTCCCAGTGGCCTTAATCCAGCATCCATCCTTATAGTGCAGTTTGCAACTTGTAAGATGTGGTGTTATCCCAGAGTGCTGCAAAGATTATTTATATTGGCCCTGTGTGATTAAAAAATCCTATTTGTCTCAGCTAATGAAAGCTAGCAGATCTACCCAGAATGCATCTGATAGTGTAACAAGATTTCCAGATGCACAAATTCAGTATATAATGCTTGCAATATAAAAACATCATTTACTGTGGTGTGTGTGTGTGTGTATGTATAATGGTTTGTACAAGGAAAAATACAGTAATACAAAACAAAGATTTAATTATTTTTGTTTAATTCAGTATTCCTTAATCAAGTAACACTTCTCATGATTTTTGAGGATTTTTGGGTTGTATAAAGATTGGAAGATCCAGGTCAAAACAGGAACAGAAGCATACAGTATAGCAAAAAAAATTAGTCCCAAGTAGGATCAGTGCCAATGGGACTGTGAGTTACGGGGGGAAGAAAGGATGCACAGAAATAATGTAGTTTGTCTTCATTTTTTTCTCTCTCACACAAACTCCTTAAAGTATTTTGGGGTAAAATGCACACAATGGGAACAGGATCAGTCCCATAGAAGCCAGTAACAAAACTCCAAGCTCTAGTGCTATGTCATAACCTTTTCAAACATTAACTTCACAAGGTAATTATTGATTAACTGACTTTTCCCTATGAGGTCCTTTATAAAGCTCTGTTGGCGTTTTTTAAGAAGTTCATCTGCAAATCTCTCCTTTGAAAGCAAAGGAGCGACCGACTGGTTTTAGCCTCCCACCTCAATCACCCACAATTGCTCCGTATCAGCCTTTTGTTTTCTGATAGAGTTGCTCAGTAACTTATTTCCATTCTCGCCTCCTCAAGAACATAGGAGACTAGATTTGACAGTTCGCTTTTGCCAGCCATCCTACTCTCTCACACTCAGAGAGGAGGGCTGATCCTGCGTTTACTTACAGAGGTGTAAAGTAGGAACGTCCAACAAAGTCAGGCCACATCTCGTGTAACCGCCGAAAAAGAGAGCGAGCGAACGTGCACGCGAGTAGGGCTCCAGTCCTCTCTTGGCTTCCCTTCTAAGCGTTTCCCAGTAGTGCCTAGCTTACTCTGCCGCCTATTGATGAAACAGGGAGACTTGAGGCAGAGCTTTATTCCTGCCCTTCCCAGGTAGGGGGCTGCTGGCGGGCAGGGCTGCAAAGCTGCAGCCAGAGCTAAGGTGCGATCTTCTCTTTAGCAAATGCTAATGCAAGCGGCAGGCTCCAGCTGAGGGGAGAGATGCCCTGGCTGGGCAGGGGTGGGACAGCTGGAGCCAGGGCCTAGGGAGACTGGGGAAGGGAATTTCCCTAGCTTCCTCCCCGCCCCCCGGGCAGGTGAGCTCCCCGGCCAGCCCCTCACCTGGAACCCAGCAGGGCGAGGCGCCACCACGGCCGCCGCCTCCTCCCCCTGCTCATCCCCGCCCCTATCCCCGCCGGCCCGCCCCCTCGTGGGCGGGCGGATTCCCCAGAGGGAACCCCTGAGCACGGCTGGCTTGCTCGCTGCGTGCGGGGAAAGTTTTACTGCGAGCGGAGGAGTTAGGAGGAGGGGGAGAGAGCGGAGCTGCCTCTTGCCTGAGCCGTCAGCTTCCCTCAGCCCCGGGCGCGCAGCCACCGCCGGAGGAGGAGACCCGGGAGCAGCCGCCGGCTCCCGCCAGACCCCGGGCACTTTCTCTGCCACGCACGTGGGGTGGGAGCCGCTGCCAGCCGCCGGGGAGCGCGGAGCCCCTTAGTCCCAGCGCCGCCGCCGCCTGGTGCCCGGGTAGCAGCTCAGCATGGTCTGCAGAGCCGCGGGGCGCGGACCCGGGGAGAGGAGCTGAGCGCCGCCGGAGGGACGAGGAAAGAGCCGCGCCGAGCCCCGGGGATTATTTCCCAGTCCGGGATGGGGGACTGGAGCCGCCGGCTCCGGGCAGCAGCCAGCGGGCGTCTCCGGGCCGGGAGAGCCGCTGTCCTGGTGCTGCTCCTCGCCTGCTTCTGCCTCAGCGCCGCAGTGGAGAAGAAGAAAGGTACCGATCGCGCCCCGTGGGGCTGGCCGCGCTGTGGGGAGCGGGGGGCGGCTCGGGGGGAGAGGGAAGGAGCCCCGCTGCCTCCAGGGCTGGGGGGCGGGGAAGCTTTAAACTTTTCCTCCGGCTCCATAGCTGGAGTTCCGGGCGCCGGCTGGCGCTCCTCCAGCGCTGCGCTGTCAGGGCCAGGGGGGCAATGTCCCAACTCCTTAGCCGCCCTGTGACAGCTTCGCAGCGTGCCACTTCCTGAGTTTGGGGCTTACTTTCTCGGGGGAGGGGGAGAAAAGCCATGGCACGTCCTTCCCCCTCACCCAGTAATCACACCGCGCTGCGATCTCCTAGGCTGGCTGAAGACAAAACGTCCCAGATTTTATCGGCACCTCTGTTAGCTCCCACTCTCCCCTTTACTGACTAGGAGGCCACGTTCTGCCCTGGCTTGGTTCCGCACGCGGGGCTGCCGGGGTGTGTCCCAGCAGCACCTGGCCCGATGAGTTTCCTAGGCAGCTTGGTCAAGCAATCCCTCCCGGCGTGTCCGCGTGCACATCTTGTCAATATACTTGGAAGTGTTTTAGTGCCTTTCGGAAGCATCGGTGGTGGGGTAATAAGCCACGAGGGGAGAAGCAGTGGCAGGCTGCTGTGTCGGTTTCACAAGAGGTTAGGTTGCCCTACTAAGGGGTTACTGCCCCAGGCGCTTATTATCGTCTTCCCGTAACTAATACAACATGGGGGTGGGGGGAGCCACGAATGATTCACATGCATGCCTGAGCCAAATAACTCATGTTCCATGCAAGCCTAAGTTTTATAACAACTGCAGTGATGTTGGTCTCTTCGCTAGTCATTCTCACCTGCTCCTGATCGTTTCGTGAGCATTGTTTATCTGTCCGGCAGAAATACACCAAGGAAAAAGCTCAATGTGTGTCCATTCCCCCCACTCTTCTTAAAAACGGGAAGCACTTGTACGTGTGGTGCCCAGTCTAAACAAATTGGCAACCTTTATGAATGAACTGCATGTCTCTTACTGTCAGCTACGCTTGCTGTTTCTCTTCTTATCCCCTGCACTACCTGATACTGTGCATATTGAAAACTGTGTAGACTAGTTTATTGCAAGATTTTAATACGTTAAGGAACCGTTTTCAGTGTTGGGAGAAAAACAGCTTCTGGCTGGTCAACCCTTCCCCCCCCCCGCCCCTTTTTTTGTAAGTTTCAAGAGTAGACAGCCAATTTCAGTTCCAGGGAAAATCGTCTTTATCTTGGAAATCCTCCAACAACAACAACACAATGCAGATTTTTGTTTAAAAAAATCGCTTGAGAAAAGATCTGATAGTTGTAGAAAGTCTTTTAGAAGAGCTGAGCATAAGTGAGTTTGCATTTCGTGACTCTGGACAATAAAACCATCTTTGAAAAGGAGAAACACGCCTTTTAGAAAAGCTAATTACACAATCTTGAAATCAAGAGACACTCTGGTTCCAAGAAGCAAGTTCGTACCTGTTGTTGATGTAACGAGGGCAGGGTTTTGGGGGGAGTTGACTCCGTTTGCTGTGATTGTGCAGCTCAGATAAAATTGTTTTGAAACACAGACTGAGTTTAGGTGTAAGGGTAATACTAAAGGCTATAGTATTAAGAGGTAGCAATTGTTATTGTTTTATTGTTATTACTGTCCTGTCTAGGAGCCCTAGGTATGGACCAGGACCCCAATCTACTAAATAGCAGTAAAGACGTGATAACGAGTTTTTTTTTTCCACTGTATAATTGTTTGGCAGTAGTTTTTCACACCAGGAGAGTTAGACCTGTTGACGAAGATAAAACGCAGTATGCCATCTTCAAAATGCCAGTTGCCTGATAAAAAGAAGAACAGGAGTACTTGTGGCACCTTAGAGACTAACAAATTTATTAGAGCATAAGTTTTCGTGGACTACAGCCCACTTCTTCGGATGCATATCATCCGACGAAGTGGGCTGTAGTCCACGAAAACTTATGCTCTAATAAATTTGTTAGTCTCTAAGGTGCCACAAGTACTCCTGTTCTTCTTTTTGCGGATACAGACTAACACGGCTGCTACTCTGAAAGTTGCCTGATAGTTCACTGTAATGTATGATCACTAAAGGTGAGCAGCAGAAGAGTGCTTTTTGGTGACGTGTTTTACTGCTTCCATTGAATTAACTGGTAAAATTACCATTGACGTGAATGATACAGGATGAATCCTCATTTGAGAATCATAAAATAGCAGTTCCAAATTTTAACTGTTTCTTTCAAAGTAATGGGTGGATGATAGATCAGACCATCATCACGACTCCAGAACCTGCCTCACGGTTCAGGTACATGGGATCATCCTTTTGATACCACTTATCCTGGGTGCTGGAATTAGGGATGTTGGGGGTGCTGCAGCACCCCCTGGCTTGAAGTAGTAATAACAACCAAATACACAGTTTCTGCTTTCAGCCGCCCCGATATAAAAACTGATACAGCACCCCTGCCCTGACTGTAAATCCAAATATATTGTAATGAATTTGTGCAGCAATACAAACCGATGAAGTGCTACAGTAAACTAAAATGATGCATCTGAGAAATTTTAAATTGGATGTACTTCTGAGCATTCACTTCTTAAAAATTTTAACTGAATGTCACTTCTTTACTATACAAAGTGCTGATGCTAGTACAGTGCTCATTAGAGTGCCAAAAATGTACAACTTTAAGTTTTGGTTAAGGAGGTGACTTCAACGTCAATTTTTTATAAAATTATATCTTTCTCCAAACTTTGAGAATTAAAAACAAATTTCAATACAGCTGAGAGACAACTGGATTTATTATTAATGTTGTTGATGTTTTAATAATAAAAAAGGAATCATGAACATTCCAAAACCAAACAAAACAGAATTATTGAAAATGTAAACACACAGAGATCAGAATCTGTCTGGTGTAAACCCAGATTAACACAACAGTGAAGCTAACATGCATTTTCACCAATCCAGTCACAGTAATCGTTTTAATAGTAGTAATTTCCAGTAATAGTCGTGCCAGTTATTGTCTAGTGCACTTCATCAATAGCAAACTGAAGTGTAACTGGCAAATCTGTGGTAGCACTACAATTCAGATAACCTGCTTTCCACTGTATTGTGCATCAGGTTAGTTTTGATTTTCAGTGGTCAACCATTCATGTGAGCACAGTATTATACACTGGGAATGTGCAACATTTGTACATCACTAAATGTATATTAGTATGCATGTTTATGGTGTCGTTTAGATTATTCTGTAGACTGCACCGAACAAAATGTTTTACTCATGTTCAAATTTTGCTTTATACTGCTAAACCAATGGTAAAAGTTTCTTTTACAACTTTTGGGTCATATATTGTCATCTGTCTACCAGATACCAATGGGAATTGCATGTACGGTTCAAGGACATTATATGGTCCCAGATTTGTATCAGAGTCATATATTACGCTACATTCTAGCACAGAATTCCCATTGACTTGCAATGGTAGTTTTGCATAAGAAAAGAAGGTGGAATGCCCTTTTAACATCTATGGGTTTGTCTACACACAAATCCTTTTTGTAACAAATTAACTGTATTGGTTTAGAAACTGATATTGTTAAATTGGTGCAAACCCTGGTGTAGATGTGGTTATACCAGCATAAAAGTGTGTATATTAGTATAGCTTATTTTGATAAAACAACATAAATTGTTCAAAAACTGTGTGTTGATCAGACCTTATTCTGGTACCTTATGTATGAAAAGCTTAATCCTACCTGTTTAAAAACAAACAAACAACAAAAATGTACATCCATCCACTTAGGACCATATTTTACCCCCAGCCTTAGTGCAAAAATTTCATTACCTTCAAGGAATTTCTCATATGTAAGGAGGGAAACATATAGCAGTAAAGGTGCAGCCAAATGTATATCATATGTAGCCCTTGGTTTTCATCCTCAAGCTATGCTTCTGGCAAAAATGGTCAGATTAAAATCCTTGTGTGAGCAAAATTACTCTCAACAAAAGATTGGGCCTTAAATTAAGAATAACTATAGGAAATATATAGAAATGAATAAAATATATGCATAGCTGAGGGTAAAAAATGCTAATATATTATTTATTGCAACAACAGTGTATTCAGTGCTTTACATACAATAAAGAAAAAAGGTACTTGCCCTTGAGACTAGTCTAAATCCATTGTAATCCATTTATTAATTTAGGGAGACAAACTCCTTCATGGAGTGTCAGACAATCTCATGACGTTTCTGGTGGCTGGCTCTTGCATTTGGGTATGTGCGTTTGCTGTAATCTTTGATAGACCAGTTTTAGGCAGCAGTATAAGTGACTGGTCCAACCAGTTTGTTCATAATGCTACAGTTCTTCCATGTTCCCTTTTA